AACCTATATATTAGTGAAAGTATAACTCATCATAGTCGATCATATACAACTAAAGCTTAGATTTGAGGTAAAATTTTAGCTTTTGATGACTTTTTTTAGTAATGAAGACAAGTGAACAATGACCTGAGAATTTTGCTTCAGGAGCTAGAAGTAAAGAGCTATTTAAATAAAAAGAGAGGGGAGGGAAGGAAGAAAAAATTAAAGCAGTAAGAAAATAAATAAAACCCAAGGTGGATTTGTGGAGATATAATTGTCTTGGTAGACTAATAAAGAGAACATGTCTCATAAATACCTGCAGATCCTACAGAATATTGTTAATATATCCCAGTAATTTTGCAAAATTAGATGAAGTAGACAAAATTATTTAAATGCAAAGCTTCAAAAAAATATGTAACCTGAATAGCCTTGTACTTATTAAAGAAACTGAAATCATATTTAAAATTCCTTTTACTAACAACACCGTACATACCTATATCTCCACCAGGAATACTGACAGTACACTGAAAACAAAGCCACACACAGGTAATAAAAAGTATTTAGCTTGCTATCCCTTACAAGCAAAAAAACCCCAAACATTCTTAATGATAATTAGCAAATCAGACAATGTGTGGAGATATATAAGATTAAGTACATCAAGACCTGATGAGGGCTGGGGAGATGGCTCAGTGGAATAAGCACTTCCCTGGCAAGCACAAGGGCCTGAGTTCAATCCCTGGTTCCGCAAAAAAAAAAAAAAAGAACTGATGAACTTTATCCTAGGAAAGCAAGGTAAGTTTAAAATCAGAAAATGTATCACTGTGCTAACATGCAAGGAGAAAATCCAGATCATTTTGTTATCTAACCCAAAATCATAGGCGTTTATTCCTACTTCTTTCTGCTTAGGATATTATGGCTTTAGCTCTTACTTTTAGGTTATTGAGTTAACTTTTATTATGTAAGATAAGGGCCCAAATTCAAATGTTTTTTCATTTTTGCATGTGGATACCTAATTGTCCCAGACCACTTCTTGAAAAGAGTATCATTTTCTCTATTGAATTTTTTAAATATTTCTATAGGTCATTAACAATAAAAGTAAAAGGTTTACTTCTGGGCTCTTTGTTCTGTTCCAGGATTCTATATGTCCTCATGACAGTACAACACTGGTTATTTTTCTGGTACCGGGAATCAAACTCAGGACCTTGTGCTTGCCAGGCAGGTGCTGTGCTACTGAGCTGTATCTCTGATGCAATACTGTTCTAGTGCTGTCCTTTGTTTTTGACACAGGGTCTCACTATATATGTAGTTCAGACTGGCCTTGAGCTCATTGTGTAGTCCGGGCCAGCCTTGAATTCATGGTAGTTCACCTGCTCAGCCTCCCAGGTTCTGGGATTACATGTGTGCATCAACATGCTGGGTAATACTGTACTTTTTAGGTTTTGTTTGTTTGTTTTGAAAACAAACTAACCATTTATATTAGGTTAATTTCCAGACTATTTGTCTTATTAATCTGTTTGTCTATCCTTATTCCAAAAGCATGCTAAATCTTGATTATTATAACTTTGCCATTTTTAAAATTTTATTTTTTTTTATTTTTTATTTTTTGCAGGCAATAGAATTAAATCTTTAATAATGCAAAGTAGGCATGTTTTGAGGATTAAATTTTTTGTGAATACTGCCATTATTATGTAAATATTGCATAAACCTTTAGATTCTGGTGCTCATTTGGGAGTTTGAAGGTATGCATTTAATTTAAAATGTATTCTTTACAAAGGAGCTTGTATGTCAAATAGTTCTTATAGGTTTTCCTGTGTGAAAATGGGTTAGAATAGAAAAATACCGAAAGAAAAATACTTAAAAGATACTTAATTGATTTAGTCTTTCCATGGACTTTTCTTAAAATTTTTTAATCATTTATTTATTTATTTATTTATTTGGTACGGGGTCTCACTATGCGGATCGGACTCAATGATTGTCCTGTCTCAGCCTCCCTAGCACTCCATAGATTTTAGATGTAAACCTTTTTTTCTACAGAAATCAATAATTGGTAATACATTGTTATCTTCCCTTAGCAACTTAAAGAAACAATCAAACATTATAACAAAGAAAAGGTCGTATAATTTAACGAGTTAAGCCAGTTGTGGTGGTGCATGCCTGTAATCCCAGCACTCAGGAGGCTGAGGCATGAGGATTGTTGCAAGTTCCAGGCCAACCTGGGCTACAAAGTGAGTGCAAGACCAGCCTGAACTGCATAGTGAGATCCTGTCTCAAAAACAATAAATAAATAAATAAATAAATCATTCACTTAAAAAAAATTAAAGATTTATTTCATATACTAGTTCAGAAGAATCAAGTTGACCTCCATTTCACTGGTGAAAAACAAAAGAAAAGAAATTTTTACTAGTTTATTTTCTGAAACGGGAAAGACAGCTACAGAGACCAATTCTAAATTACGTTTGTCCACCATCTGCAACTTGTAAACTGTCCTTTTCCAATTCTGGTAGTTTGTCCAACTTACTGCCTTCTTGGACCTCTTGATATGTCCGGAGCTGTTCCATGAGGCCAGAATTTGGATATACCGAAGGCCTTGCATTTTTCACCAAAGTAAAAGCACTGCTAAAGGAGATTTGTTCAGAATTCATCGGGAAGCCTGTTACAATCGCAGGAGCCCAGGAAACTCCTGTATTACAATGAATAAGAACCACACCATCCTTCATTTTTGCTTCTTCAATAAATTCAAAACACTCTGGAAAATAAGACAGGATACTGGTTTCAGGCAGATCCAGTATGGAAATATTCTTATAGGTGAACTCTTTGGGGAGAGCATTTTCACCTCCATATGCAAGGCTGAGAATATGAGTCAGCTTGTGCGTTTTCAGTACATCCAGACCATGAGCAGCATCTTGTGACCCATTCTGAATGACCACGGCGTCGGCATGCTCACTCGCCTCTGCAACATCAAGAAGGTGCCTAAAGTTTTAAAAGATAATGGATTCTAAGAACATCAAACCCAGAGCTGGGCTTGGTGACACACATCTCAAATCTCAGTACCGTGGGAGACAGAGGCGACACTTAAAAGCGTAAGCCCAGCCCAAGCAATGTAACAACTTAGTGAGACCCTGCCTCAAAAGAATAAATATAAGTAAGTAAAGGCTGGGTTATAGGTCAGTGGAAAGGGTAAGTTCAACTTCCAGTACTGAAAAAGGAAGAAAAAACGGAGTTCAGACTCATATAAGAGAGGAGAGCAGAGTGGACTGGTGGCATCATGCCACTGGAGGCTAAGGGGGTGCTGGTCAGAAGTGCACTTTCGCTCCAACAGGAGGAATACTGGCTGAGGATGTGTTTAGTCAGCAAAGTAGAGGTGCTGTGTTTAGAAACTGAATAATGTTATGCCTCCCAATTTTGTTTTTCAAGGCTGTTTTGGCTATTCTGGTCTTTTGAAGTCCACATGAATTTCAGTATATATTTTTCAATCTATATATAATACCCAGCAGAGATTTTGTTTGTTTGTTTGTTTTTGTGCAGGGTCTCACTGTATAGCTTGGACTGGCAGTGCCCCTCCTGTTTTTAGCCTCCCCAGCGCTGGGATTACAAGCGTGCACCACCACACCTGGACTCCATCGCCAGCTCAGCACGCCCGGGGGACCTGGGCTGTGCAGCATGTGGTGCTAGAGATCAAGCCCTGGCCTGCGCTTGCCTACGCAAGTGCTTAGCCCACTGAGCTATCTCATTGGCCCTCAGAAGAGGTTTTGAAAGGAGTTCTGTTTAATATATAGACTAGTTTGAAAGAGCGTATAATGTTGAAGGTTCTGGATTATGCAAATAGTGTCTTCCTATTTATTTAGACTTTATAGTTTTGTGCAACTCTTGTACTTCTATGAAATATATTATTTCAATTGTTCAAGATTTATTAAATAAGTCTGGTTCTACCATTAATTGCTACAAAGCTTGAAAGGGATCACATTATTCCTTTTGTCCTCTCCAGGTAATAAAGTGTGCCTATGTCAGTTTTTAAGAGCTTTGCAGATTCCCTAAGAGCTTCATATCCATCCATTCATTCATTCAGCAAACCTTTATCGAATACCTGGTATGTGCCAGGCAGATACAGATAGCTAGTCTTGAGGATTCTAACCTCGTAGAACTTTAAGATCAACAGTAAAATTTAGTGAAACTCTTATTTAAAATAGTTTCTGAAAACTCATGTCATTCATCTGAATATTTTTATTGGTTTCATGCATTCTACATTAAATCTTTTTTTAAATTCTTTTGTTAAAATTCAAGATACCACATATCTCTATAAATACTTCTAAAGAAAATAATATTCATAAATATTATTGCTAAAAATTTGTGCTTTTCTTCCTCTTTTCCTAATTTTAAAGCTTGTTTCTAATCTTTGTAATTGAATTTTAAACAAATATACATTTCTTTAATTCCTCCTTGAAGAGCACCTAATAAAAAGGAGATATTTATTTCAGTGGTTTATATGTTTTTTTAAAAAGTGTTTATGTCTTAAATGGCATCAGGTGTGTTACTAGAACAATGATCTCTGGGCTTGTAAAGATTACAGGGGTCACTAACTGAAAATTGTGAGCTAATTGATACTCTGAGCCTTGAGCAGCTTGAGGGAGATTTGTGCCTTGGACAGCAACAAGGAACGGCTACTCTAGGAAAAGAAGCCGGTTGAGGGAAGCTGGAGGAGGCGCAGCACCAGCCTGCCCCTGCGGGCCACAGCGGCCCTCCGCCCTCGCGAGGCCTCTTCCTCCGTCGCCCGCCGGTCCGGTCCACAGGCAGCAGCTGCGCAGCTGCTCGAGGAGGGCAGGGAGGCTGCGGCCCAGCGCCACCGCAGCTGACGCAGAGGTGCCAGCAGCAGTAGATGTTCTGAGCCTTGATTTCCTTTATGCACTGGAGAAAATATTTGGGTTGTAAACGTATAAAAATTAGTATATAAGAATGTATTTTGAAAACTTAAGGAGCTATGTGGTTACATTGTTTTTCATGGTTGATTTGTGTTACTTCTCCCACAGGAGTTCCAGCTCATGATAGGACTCAGCCATTGGATGCTCTGGACTGCCTATTTCATCACATTCCTCTTTTTCTATCTTTTTAACATCATTTTCTTATGCTTTATTTTGTTTATCAAGGCAAGTGTCTATTTCACTACAGCATGGTACAACTACACTTTAAGGGGTAAAACAAAAACGTGACGTGGCCGTAATGGCTTTTGGGTGGCAGAAGAATGAAAAGGTGGCTCGTGTGGACCCCACTGTGGAAGCACAGGCTGCGTACCCTCTCAGCCACTGTAAATCTACGTGAGTGCACCTTCTGTGAGAAAAGCATCTGGGCAGGGAGATAGCGCAGTGGTCTGAGGGCCTGCCTAGCCAAGTGCTGCCTGGCACTGCACACACGCGTGCTGGCCCTGTAGCCAGCTGGCCACTGAAACCAGGCGTGGTGGCACATGCCTGTAATCCCAGTGCTGGGGAGGCTGAGACAGGAGGATCACTGTGAGTCTGAGCTGCACAGTGAGACCTTGTATCCAATCAATCAATAATTAAAAGATTTTTAAAAATCTGAATTTGCACCTCACTGAGTAGTGTCTTTAGTTTGACTAAAGCTACTAAAATATTCAAGGTTTCATTTCTCCTCTTTTATCTGTCACAATACCACTTAGAGCATGATTAAATTGGCATCCTGATTATTTTGCTAGATTGAACCTGTACCAGTCTTCCAGTACAGTGACCCGAGTCTTGTCTTCATCTTTTTGCTGCTTTATGCCATCGCCATACTATTCTTCAGCTTTATGATTAGCACATTCTTTGATAGAGGTGAGTAATTTCTCCTGTGATTGAGCAAAGGTTATCTTGGAAAGCTCCTTATAAACTTTAGCTGCCGCCTTTGTCTATAGCCTTTGTTTACATTCTCACTGAAGTGGTAATAGCACAGTATGCGTGTGACAACAGGGTCACATTTAGGTGTACTTCTAACCTTTAGATGCTACCTCGTGTGTGGTATCTGTCCAACCCACAGGTAAGGGATCAGAGGCAGATGGCTTCTGTGTACGGTATCTCATTCTGTTGGTGGGATATATTCTGTTGGGAGGATTGATGTCTACTGCTATCTGATGGTGAGCCTGGTGTACACAAAAAGTGAGAAAACAACAATTGATTCACTGAGAAAGATTTCCTTGATCTTAGTAGATACTTATTGTTTGTCTGCTATAGGACCTGTCTCAGAGTTAACATTGATGGTAGGGGCATGTACATTACAATTTAGTTAGGTTTCTCCAGAAAAACAACCAATGGGATATAAATTATAGGAAATAAAATTTAATATGAAGAGTTGATTCAAATGATTATGGAGGCCAAGAAAGCCTATGATCTGCAGCCTGCAGCTAGGACGCCCAGGAAGGCCAGAAGTTTAATTCTAAATTGAATCTAAAGGCCAGAGAAGAGGGAGCCAGAGGTATAAATTCCAGTCTGAAGGCATGAGAAAATTGATCCATGCTTCCTCCACCTTTTTGTTCTTTCCAGGCTCCTGATAGGCTGCATCACACCTCATGTGGGCAGTTCTCATGAGTGGGTCCACAGAGTCAAATGCTAGTCTGCCTTAGAAATACATCTGCAAGCACACCAGAAACAGTGTGTAATATGTACACTTCATAGTTCAGGCAACTTGACCCATAGATCAGCAGAGAAGATTGGCAGAGAGCAATGAAATAAATGGACCATAGTCCATTGGAGTTCAGGATTTTTTCATTACTTTGTATTTTCTTTAATTTGAAAATGATATGTTTAGATACAAGTCTTCTGACATTTACCCTGCTTAGTGCTCTCTGAGGTTCCTAAATTTAAGGTGCAGTGTCTGCTATTAATTTGGACAAATTGTCAGCCATTGTCTCCGTTATTTCTTGGTTCCTTTCTTCTTCTCATGTTCCTATGTGCACTCTATATACCTTTTGTAGTTGTCATGCAGTCCATGGATGTACTGTGCTGGTGTTTTCAGTGTTCTCTTTGCTTTTCAGTTTCTGACTTTCTACTGACAGAGATGATTTCTGAAGCCATGTCCCGTATACAAAAAATACCATCAAAGGCATTCTTCCTTTTTGTTATACTATTTTTGATCTTAAGCATTTTGTTGTTGTTGTTTGTTAGGATTTCTAGCTTCCTTCTTCATTGCCCTTATGTTCTTACATGCTGCGTACTTTATTCACTAGAGCCCTTGGCTTTTTCAGTCATCATTGTTTTTGAACTCCCAGGCTGGTAGTTCTAACAGCAGTGCTGTGTTGGAGCCTGATAGTCTGTGTCTTCAAATCTTGAGTTTCCTTTTCACTATGCCTTACAGCTTTTTTTGATAGCTGGCCATGATGCACCTGGTGAAAGGCAAAGCTATGAAAAGCTGCTTAGCATGCAATGGAAAAGTGTGGGAAGGAGGGAGTATTTTCTAGTCCTACAAGGAGAGCTTGGTCTCTGGGTGAGCCTGTACCTCTGCACTGTCGGCTTCACAGTGCTTGTCAGTGCTCGTCCCTCTTAGGTGGGATGGTGTGGAGGTGGTGGGCTATAGCTCAGTATTCCCTTGGCCCCGGCCAGTTAGGTTCTGGTGTTACCAAAAGAGTCTAGGACTTATGAACTACTTTCTCTTGAGGCCAGGTCTTATTCAGAAGAACAGAATGCTTTATCCAGGGCCCGGGAGATGGCTCAGTAGAACAAGCACTTGCCTGGCAAGCACAAGGGCCTGAGTTCAATCCCCAGTTCTGCCAAAAAAAAAAAAAAAAAAGAAGAAGTCAAATTCCAGAATGCTTTATCCATTTCAAACTGTCTGTTTCTCCTTCCCCTGCTCCAAACTTGAAGGGACATTTTTCGGTTTGCTATGGGAATCTGTTACCCTGGAGGTAATTCCCACAATATGGTGGGCTCCCCTCCCGCATGACTGAGTCTCCCTGGGATTGTCCACACAAGCCTCAAGCGGTTTATTGATGACAGCTGGTGTTTTCCTACCCTTTCACCTGTTCCTGAGGAAACCTGTTCCCTTAGGGACTTGCTCTTTAGTATCTGCTTCAGTTACTCATAACCCCTGCATTCACCCATTTTGTTTTTTCTGGCCTTAGGGATAGCAGTTTACCCTGTGTCCTCTCCTCTGGCGCAGATGAAGAGTGAATTTTTGTTGGTTCTTTTCAGCTATTTACTTGTTGTTAGGATGTACTAGTGATTTCCAGGCTCATTACATGTGGACTGAAATGGGAAGCCTCTCATTCCTGAAAGCTAGTTTTACCTCATACGATTCTTGGTCGACAAGTTTTCATTCACTTACTTTCACTTTCAACACTTCATAATGTTACCCCCACTGACAGGTTTCTGTTCTCAGAAAGCTTATTTTATTATGCTCATATAAAAAAGGTATTTCTATTTTAGATTTTTGAAAACTACTTAAATTGACCCTCTCTTTTTCTGATTTTCAGCTACTGTTGCTGTTATTTTTGGAGGTTTCATTTTTTTAATCATTTATATTCCATCTGCTTTATTAATAACTGATTATAAGAAGATGATGTTCCAGAGGAAGCTGGTTTCTTGTCTCAGCTTTAATGTTGCCATGGCACTGGGATTTAAATTTCTAGTGGAGGCAGAATCAATGAGTGAGTGTTTTCCTTGTAAATTTTGCGGTATGCGAATAGATATATCTTTGCTGTGCTTTGGGGTATTCACACTTTCAATTTTGAGTAGTGTTGCTAAGTTTCATTTTAAAAAGTTATACACTTTATACCAGCACTTAGCGTATTCTTTCTAAGAATTTGCTGCAAATATGACAAGGCTTTTTTCCTTCCCTTTGGAGTTGCCTTCTCCTATCTAGCACTAGGGCAGAGTGATATGGTCCCTTTGTCAGTCAGTGCAGTGTCCATGCAAGTAAGAATACTTCTAGCCTCTGTCTGGAGGTCGGCATCTATCCTTGTCTTTCAGTGTTTGTGCTCCCAAAATTGTACATACCAATGAGCATTTAACATGAAGAAGGGTAGAAAGACAGGTGCCACAGCTTAACCCATAGGTACATTTCTTTTTCTTTCTTTCTTTCTTTCTTTTTTTTTTTTTTTTAATTTAGGGAAAGGTCTACAGGGTGTTCAGGGGTCTCACTACTAGATCGGACTCGAAGTGATCCTCCTGTTTATAGCCTCCCAAGAGCTGGGATTACAGGTGTGCCACTACCCAGTCTCAATTGTTGTCTCAGCTTGCCCCGGGGGCAGGGCTGGCATGGCAGGCCTAGGGATCGAACCCCCGGCCCCTGTGCCTGCTTGCAGGCGCTTTAATCCACTGAGCTATTTGGCTGGCCCTATATTTATTTTTCTTAAAGCTTATTTTCCTAAATATTGAGTACATTTTATTTTTTGTTCCAATCATTTCTAACTATTTATTTGGGTATAATGAGGGACAACCATGATTACTTATTCAGATGCCACCTGGTACAGCTTGACTCTATAGGACTCTCTAGAGAGTGCCCACACATTATTGTCTTTACTATTATGTTATGGATGGATAACTCTCATTGGCAATTAATTAAATGTCTCCTGTTATGTCTTAGAAATAGGAATTAAATGGAGTAACATCTTCTCATCAACCCGACCAGACAATTTTTTTTTTGCTTATGTGATGGGAATGCTTTTACTTGACTCTTTCTTGTATGGTGTAGTGGCCTGGTATATCGGAGCTGTCTTTCCAGGGAAGTATGGTATGCCCAAACCATGGAACTTTTTCTTGATGGTGAGTTCTAATGCTGGTTATTGATATAGTCCTTATTAACTTATTTATAATGTATTTAAAAGCCATTGTGAATTAATTTTACATTATAATTAAATCAAGAGATCAGATGAAACAATGATTTTTATCTGCCCTCCAGCCATACTAATTCATGAGCCTTTTCCTAATAGACTCTAAGCCCTCAAACATATAGACATAGCTACAGTAATAATTCTACATATACATATTATTGAAAAATATGGTGAATGTTTAAATTTTTTCAAAAAATATCATACACACACACACACACACACACATATATATATAT